GTATAGATATTTTAGAGTAGAGAAAATTATTATAAACATTCACCTCTAAGTGAAGTACCTCAAGAAGTGATCATAGCAAAAAATATACTTAAATAACTTTGTAGCCAAGAATATCAGCTATATGATAATATAAGTTATATTCTATATTATTATATAATATCCAGAGAAAATATAGGCTATAGCAAGAAAATACTGTGTTAAAACTGTACTAAACTATGCTAAATACTGTGCTGAACTGTGCTGAATACTTTGCTAAGAACTATGCCAAAACTGTGCTAAATACTGTACTAATACAGTGCTAAACTATACCAAAAGACTATGCTAGACTATGCTGAACTATACTGAACTATGCTAAATACTGTGCCTCTTACTGTACTAAACTATTAATAGTGATGCTTAACTATCACTTGCACAAACACTTAAGTGATACTTGTATAAGTTGCTTACATGATGCTTTGCTAATACTTATATAATACATGCTAAAAGTTATAAATACAAGTAGAATTCCTTCTCTTGCCCTTTAGTTGTTTAGACCTCAACTCCTCTTCTCCTTTTATACTTGACTCTAAATATTTATAATTAATAAATATATTGTTATTAAATAAACCTAAACAAACTGCCTCTTATAGAGTAGAACTTTTCTTTACTATTAGTTAAAGAAACTTCTCTCTTAGATGCCACTTCTTAAAGTAATTAGATAGCTATATTGCTGTTACTTATAGTGTACTAAGAAGGCTATGCTATCTGTAACAGTAGAATGTAAATTCTATTTAAAAGTATTAAAATATCATGATAATTAAGATAATTCTATCTGTATTATGCATTATATGCTTCATAATAGATATTCTCTTAGAACTAATAAAGATTTGTAAAATATCTATTTATCTCAACAAGCAAGAGAATAGATCAAAGAAAAAACAAGAGATAAATTGAAACTAGCACAAATTGTATTAATATTTTATTAATAGATTAACAAAATTTATAATAATAATAGCTCAGATTTCTTATCTCTAACTCAAAGATATAATTCATATCTATTCTATATTAATGTCTATAATATAGTTCATGAAGAAATGAAAGATATAGTTTTTTTAAGCAATGATAATTAAAGTTATAATGAAATTATATCTATTAATAAATAGATTGCTTCATCCCAAGAAGATAGATTATATACTTATAGTAATTTAACTTAGAGCTCAAATTTAGATTTTCTATATGAGTTCTAAACAGAATTTCAAAAAAAATATTAAAAAATAAAAGTGCTCAAACTGTATATATAGATGAAACATATAGTATAACAGTATATAAAACAAATCTTTTTACTCTAGTTATATAAGATAATATTAGTAGTCAAGATATTTCTGTAGCATTTTTAATTTTAGAAAAAAAGCAACTGAAATATTAATTTTTTAGCTCACAAGTATAAGAAATCAGAATATAAACTAGAAGCCTTAGATATTTTTTACAGACTATGATAATATATAGCAAAATGCTATAAGTCTAGTTTTTTCTAATACAAAAATTTGCTTTATTAATAGTATGTAAAACATATCTAATAAAAAACAAAGGCAAAATTAAAGCCAATAGTAATTACTTCAAAGCATATTATAATTGAATATATAAACTAACAAAAAAATAAGTAGCAAAAAAGCTGCTTTAAATGAGCTTAGTGCTATAATGTGATTTTGTAATACTTTGCAAGTATAACAAAAACTTAATAGTTATTTTTCTCATTAGGTTGAATTAGATAAATTAATATGAGTAGAATATATAAAAATAAATATTATAAAAATTATAAAAGATAGATCGATATCTATAGATTATATAAGTATTAAGAAATAAATATCACAAATTTTATTAAAGTATAGTATAAAAAACTTAAATATATATACTTAGATGCTAAACAAAATCATTAAATTGATATTTTAATTTAACTTTATAAGCTGCTTTAACAGATACAGAATTTGAGTATAAAGCTATCAATTTGATAATTAGAAGAATGAAGTCTTATCAAAAAGAACAACAGTATTAAGAACTAGTAGTATTAGATTTAGAAAGTTTCATAATATCTAGTAGATAATACTTTCTTGTAAAGTCATCTACAAATAATAATAATAATAATTATGAGATTAATATTAAAAACAATATACAAAAAAATATTAATATAAAATCTATATACTTAGAATATATATGTCTGGACTTCAAGTTTCATAGGATTGTATACAAGTATATATTTGCTATATATCAAAAATTCTACTTTGCACTAATATCTAAAATATTATTTTTTTTACAAGTAGAGTAGTCTGAACTCACAAATAGGACTCTCCACAGCAAAAAGTATTAGTAGGACAACCAATTAGATTTTGAGATTTTATATTAATTATTTGCTTATAGGTTTTGTTTTTCTGAAAAAAAATTTTTTTTTTCAAATATGTTAGTAAAATGTATATAAATTTGATTTTTTTTGTTTTAAAAAATTGAACGTACTATATATCGATCTGTAATATTATGCATCATATAAATATTTTTTATACTAAATTGAATACTTATCGCTATACTAACTTTTTTTTTTATACCTAGTAAGCTAGGATGCCAGTGGCATGCTTTATCTGTACTAACTTTTAAGTATATGCATATCGATAAAATAATTTGGATAGTACAACTATAAGATCGAATATAGATAGCTAATAGCATACACGTACATATATATTATACTAAGTACATATATGCATAAGAGTGTAAAATTAATAATTATAACAGAGGAAATTTTCTTACATTTTATATTTTAAATAAAAAAAACATGGAATATAATATCTATTCTAATGATAATAGTGCAAATGAAGCTATTTTAGCTATGTTAAATGAGTTAAATAATATATTTTTTATTGAATATTTAGATTCTGAAAGCGAAGACAAATTTGACTCTATACCAGATGATGAATCAGTATCTGATGATGATATTCCTTTAAATAAACTAAATGAATTCAACTTTGTAGATATTCTTGAAAACTATATTAAGGATAAAATTTATGATAACTTAAAATTAAAAGTTAAAAAATTTTTTGAAAAAGACGAGTATATATATCATTCTAAACAATCTTGTTTTGGACAAATTTGCTATGAAAGATTTCTTGCATGTCGTACTGAATTTGAAAGTTTAAATAAAAATATACGAGATATGGTTATTAAAGGACAACTTGTAGCTTTTTAAAAAAATGAAAATATAAAAAGGGTTACTAGTAATGATAGAAAAATGTGCATTTTAGATATTGTTATAATAATGATATTTCTGTTTGTCTTAATATATATTTAACTCTAGTTAGAGTTAGTAGTACATATTTAAATAACATAAAATGATATTTACATGAGTATGGTTTTGAAGAATGTATATATAGCAATACTAGGAGAGTTCCTAAAAATATGAACCATATTGAGGTTAATTACGATATAGTATATGATTTATATAAATTTTTAAAAAACTATTCAAATATATATGGTATGCCTTCATCTGGACGTCATTGTAACAAAATTTCAATACTAATTGTACTTCTTCTAACTAGTTTTTCTTATGCTTCAGTGTATCAGGATTATGTACAGGCTTATAAAAATAAGTATAGAGAAGATATTCATATTATGTCTGAATTAACCTTTACTAATATCTAGAAATCCTTAATACTGTTACTTCAATTTATGTCTTCAAAGTCAGATCTATGTGAAACTTGTGAAACAATAAAAATGGATATTCAATACACTACTCAATATAAAAAAAAATTGGAAATTACTAACAATTATTTGGCTTACTTAAATCATGCACAAGAAGAACGTAATTACTATAATACAAATATTGTAAATACTATTGAAGATAGTAAACATAATCCAAATATAGTTAAACCTTAAATATTATCTAAAACCTTTGATAGTAGTGCTTACATTGCATATGATTAGGCTCAAAATGTTCAAATACCTTACTCACCATAGCAAATAGGATCATTATATTTTAAAAGTGCTTGAAAAGTACATTTATTTGGTATTTGCAATACTGGTTATTTTCTACATACATAACAAACAAATTACATAATTGATGAAGCTGAAATACCTGATGATGGTAAGCTAGGAAAAGGAGTAAATTGTACTCTAAGTTTAGTTTGGCATACAATTCAAAAATATAATTGTGGAGAAAAAAAATTAGTTATAATATGTGACAATTGCATAGGTCAGAACAAAAACAATTATTCATTGTTTTTTTATTCATAGTTAATTGACCGTGGTTTGTACGATAAAATCAAGTTAAATTTCATAATACCTGAGCATACTAAGTTTATATGTAATAGTTGTTTTGGTTTAATCAAGATTCTTTACTGAAAAAGTAAAGTAAATACAGTAGATGATGTGGTCTCGATTGTTAATTATTCTACAAGAATTAATTTTAACGTTGCTCAATATTATTTTAATGGAAATAGTTTCTAATATTATGATTTCAAAAATTACTTTATTACATTTAAAAAACTACTCAATATTCAAAAATACTATCACTTTCATTTTATTTCACAATATCTCAGGGTTGTCTCGTATAAAGATAATCTTAAGGATAGTTATAAAAATTTTTAGTTTATTCATTTTCTTTTAATACTAATACCTTACCCTCTATAATTAGTACCAGACTACTTTCTCTAAAAAGACAAGAGGAGCTGTATAAAGAAATTGCATCATATGTTGATCTACCCTTTCGTAATATTACCTGTTCAAAACCAGAAAGTTCAAATAATATAAACTAAAAATTTATTCATTAGTGTTAGTATTAGTTATCAGTTATCATTATTGTTATATAAAATTAATTTAGTTTAGCAAAAAAAAACGAGTTTGGCTATGCTAAGCTTAGTAAAGAACAAGTTTGTTTTTATGTAAAAAAAGGCATAAAACAAGTTTGATTCATCACTACACTTAGTTTGACAATAAATTAAATCAACTTTAACCTTAAAACCTGAAATTCAGAATCAATTCAATTTGATTGGTAAAAAAGAAAAGCTTAAAAAATAAAAAATAAAAATCCAACGACAGAATCTTTTTTATAAACAAGACTATTAAAATAAATAAATAATAAATATAGTATTATAAGATATAATTGCAGTGATAAGCAAATTTCTAAAATAAAGATCTTAAAATCGAGATCTATTTACTAAGAAAATTACAATGCTAAAATATATATTTTTTATGAATGAATATATGAAATCCTATAAACTTTTATACTTATAAAAAATAAATAAATAAAAGAAGTTAAGTTTTTTTTGTTTTAAAAAAAAAAAAAATTCTTTACAATCGTGAACTTGAAAAATTAGTTGTAATTACATAACAATTTTCAAATGTGATTTTCTCAAAATCATGTGATTATCCCACTGCATCTTTTTGCTGTAGAAGATCCCAAATATTACTGATAATATTTCTTTTGAAGATTGAGTAAGTATACTTCAAAAAGTTTGAAACTAATATAATCAGACAAACAGAAATCAAATAACTACTACTAATTTAGAAGCAGTTGTAAATACAGGATTAAAAAGAAAAAATAAAATTATATTATATGATAATTGTTCTATTCTTAGCTCTAAATTAAGCAGAACTAATTATTCTATAGAAAAACAACAAAAAGATAATTAAGATAATTTTTAATATATTATAAAAAAAAAAAACTTAAAAAAATTTATCTAATTTATAATTATTAAAATTACAACAACTAATTAATTTAATTATCATATTGTTATACAATATATAATAATAGTATAAGATTTTTTATATTATAATATTTTTTTATAAAAATAATTCTTTATATTTTTTTTTTTTTTTTTTTTTTACTTTATACAAATGCTATTAGCTAACTTTATTATTTCATAAATTTCAGAAGTAATATATATTGTGAGAATATAACTAGCTACATATACAATTTTAGGTTATTTATTTTAAGTAGTCTACCTGAAGGTTCTACACTAGCTGCTATACTTGAAATCTCTTAGAAGATTTCCTATTTAAACTTTCTGGCTCTATCTCACTTACTGAAAGTATTACTCTTATAGTTAACTCAAACTCTGTACTACTCCACATTAGGAGATACCCAAGCTAACATTAGTCACAACTTTACTATTATAAGCCTAGATCTTATCTGAATAAGTCCCACTTCAACACTCTCTAACAGATAGGTATCACAATATCTAACTATGCTATGCTATATTCCCATTCTAGCTTGCATATACCCTTATTCTATGTTTGTACAAACCCAGTTCCAGCTGTAGCCCTCTACCAGTTTAGACTTCTGTATTCTTTCAAATGTTTCATGAGGCAGATCTTCCTAATCTAGTTAGCTGCCAAGCCAAGTTGGTGTTGTCATAATACCCAATATCACAGACTTACTCGCACCTACTTAATCTACATCTTCGTACTCAGAAATCTTTGTCAGATCAAGCATTAACTGGCATAACTATCAAAATCTGTACTACTTTACCTAACTTAGAATTTCTACCATGCAGGTTCTCTGCTCATAGATCCTATCTTGATTTATTTATGTAATGCAACTTCAACATTCTGTTAAACTTCTAATGTTTAAACAATATTAGTATAATGTAATTTATAGAGTTACAATCTCAGAAATGAATAGAGTTTACTGTAAGTTGAGTAGGTTTGAGTAATTATTCAAAGTGTCAACAGAAGGATTTGAACTCTAAACCTATTACATAGCAGTCTGACAATCTATTCACTACATTAGATTACTAGACTTTTTTTAAAATATTAGTTTCATTATTATTTTTTAAATAATAAAAGTTTGCTCTACATATAGTTTAGATGATTGTCAGAAAGAGTGTATATATATTTTATAAAATATACAAAATATATAGAATTTTAATAAATTATAATATAAACTTAATGATATAATAAGTTAATCTGCTAAAAAGAATATTCTAAGAACTAAAACTATATTTAAAATTTTATATAGTCATACTACTAAAGCAATCTAAATATATAAAGAGTTTAAAAATATAAACAAACTACTATATAACTTAAAACATAATTCAGACTATAGAAACTATCTATATTAATATAATTAAATAATTAAATATATTAATTTACTTACTCAATTTAAATAGAAGAGATCTTGAAAACTTACTTAATATCTAATAAACTAAAAACAACTAAACTTCACAAAGCTTATTAAAAAATATTACATATTGCTAGAGAAGTTAAAAATCTTTAGACTGCATAAAACAATATATATAGTAATATTTAATATAAATATAATAATTTTAATAGTAATATAACTAAAATAATAGATTATATTATTAACAAACATATACAAATAGTTGATTTTAATTAGATTATACTACTAGATTCAATTATTATTAATAAGAATAAAATTAAAATAGAGGTTAAAAACTATTTTAATAATTAGACAAAATTTAATATAGTATATTCTTTTTTATAGCAATTATAGTAACAAGAATATGAACTAAAAGAAAATATATCTTTTTTATAGTATAATACTATTTAGAACTAATTAGCATATAAGAACTAAATAAAACAAATTACTTTACAGATACCTAAATACAAAGCTACAGATTCAATTTTAATTACTAATAAGATACTATTATATCTATTAAACAAAAATTTAAAGTCATTACTAAAAATTATTAACTTAAATATTATACTAAAAATAATCTTTACTCAGTAAAAACAAAATCTAGTTTACTTAATATTAAAAAAAGCTAAATATACTAGACAACTCTGCTATATCTATTTTATTATACTAATAAAATATACTAAAAAATCTTTACTAAAATTATTATTAACAGACTTAGCAAAATCTTCTTTAAATACAAGGTCTGAAGACCTAGTATGTAGTTAGGTTGTCAGACTGCTATATAATAGGTCTGAGGTTCAAATCCTACTGTCGACAAATTTGAATAATTTTTCAGATTTTGTGATATATTATAGTAAACCCTGTTTGTTTCTAAAGGCGTATTCCTGTAAATTGAGTTATACCAAATCAATCAAAACTTGGAAGTATAGTATAATATTATACAAATAAATCTTGATAGGATATACAAGCAGAGGACCTATATGGTAGAAATCCTGAATCAGTGAAGTAGTGTTACAGAAAATGTATTCCAAGCCTTCTTATACACTAACTATAACAGAGATACAGCTATTTAGAGACTTTAAGAAGTAGTATCAAAGAGGAAGATATAATTCTTATATTATTAAAGAATTATACTCATCTCTAAAGAGGCAGTTCATTTATAATCGTTTTTAATCGATATATTTTATTAAAGATAGATATATTTAGGATAAGATACATGAATAGTTATGCTCTATAATTATAGGAAAGGGGATTTGAGCTCTATCCATTATTAGAGAAGAGGATAACTAACTAACTTGAGGAATTTGAATGAATAATAGAATTAAATTGAATATTGAACTTGAAAGAAAAACTACTTGTATTTATATCTTTTAGTAAAGCTTTGTGAAAGGGTCAACTAAGGGTCATCAAAAGGTCATCTAGGTGTCATCTAGGCATTCATACTAGTGTTACTTAGGCGTCACTTAAGCATCACTATAAATAGATTGGCACAATAAGTAGCACAGCCTTTAATACAGTAATTGTTACTTTACATTGGCCGTCACTTGAGTTTTCTCCGTATCGTACATAATAACTTCAGATAAAACTTATATTATCATATAGCCAAGATTCTCATCTAGAAAGTTACTTAGAACTATTTTTCGATCTGAACACTTCTTGAGGTACTTCACTTAGAGATGAATGTTTTCTACAAATTTCTATATTATAAAATTTTTATACTAAAATAATACAAATATAAGAAATAATACTAAAATACTAATAAATATAACTAATAAAA